TAATATATAACGATTCTTTATCAACGATTTTACAATAACTTAAACGGACATCATAACAGACTTACAAGAGGCATGGCTACAGCTGACATACCTCAGGACATGAGGAGGAGACTAAAAAGGAGAGATATTCCTTAAACAACCTAAAAAATTGGAACAAGTTAGGGAAGAAGTACTGCTGAGTACTTTCCTTCCCCATGCCTGTCATGTCATTATTTCATCTATTGCCATCAGATTTGCTGATTGCCAACAATAAGTTGATAGGCACAAATAAATTTGTATACACAAAAAATTGCAATTAAATTATGTTCGGTCTTAAAATCTCCATCCGCACCTCTCATGAAACTGACAATAAACAGAAAAAGTTGTAATAATTCGAAATAATTATTTTTAAAATATCTCTTAAACGTCTCTAACGATTACTAACCCTCATTTCTCCTTTAGTCAATTATTAAATTCGTTCATAGTTTATATTTACCCATGTTTTTTAGAAGTTAAAATGCTATATAACTAATTATTTTTAATTTATAAAGAAACAATTTGAAAATTTGGCATTTATGCTCTATCACAGTGATTCAATAAAGAGACAACCTGTCATATATTAAATAACACTTGATTTTACACTTATTTAATCTTTAGAGGCCTTTACGAGATATTTTAAAAATGATAATTTCGAATAATTTTAATTTTTTCTGTTTACTGTCAGTTTCATGAGAGCTGCGGATGGAGATTCGAAGATGAAAAAGAAATTTAATTTCGTTGTTTAAAAGTAAAATCTGGTTTATAAATTAATTATGTAAAAGCAGTGAAGAGGTATTTCATTTTACAATTTCCAAATTGTTGAATCCTATGAGATTATTTTTGCTTTAAATATAACAATTGATAATGTATTCATATTTTCTTCTTAAAATATTTATTTAACATATCGTAGCAATCAACCGAAATCCACAATAGCAGATTTATATATAATTCTATTTTGGAGCCCAATAGTAATTTATTATAATTAAGATTATAGTTTTATATCAAAACTTTCGGCAATCTCTCACAAAAATCAACAGAGCGAAAGAAAGAGTGAGAAGAGATTGATAATTGGGGAAGAAAAGAGAAGGAAGAAGCAGAGAGAGAGGCCATTGTCAACTTCTTTCTGTACCTGCCTTCATTGAATAGTCTCTTACCACTCTTCACTATTCACTTCTCTTATATCATCTCGACCTCCATTCACAAATCCGCTTTGGAATCGTTTTTGTAAATATTTTCCGTCTCGTCGGTAAACTGTTTAGTTTAGTATGAATGGGCTATTGTGGGGAGCCGTGTTAGGCCAATAAGAGGACTTGGTCTGTTAGTTTTGGTATAGGATTAATTCGACATTTTAGGTAATAGAAAGTAACATAATATTTCTTTCCTAAAATATACGAATAATATGTTTTTTATTTATTTTATATTTTAGAAACTAGACAGTACGAAAAAAAAAAAAAAAAATAGAACGCATGAGTTGTCTCATATAGATTTTTTCCATCATTGTATGGTTTAATTTACTTCTGATTAAATAACCAGTCTTATATACCTACCTAAAACTAAATTACAATTTAAAAGACAAACAAAGAAAAATGATATCTCTATGTTGATAATCAGCTGTAAAATGGCCGCCATTTTAAACAAATAGGAGGATGATTATCTTTAATTCCAAGTCAATTTTTGGGTAATCTTTGACTTCTGAACCGAATATTAAAAAAGCATATGTTACTTTAGGCTCTTGTAAATCCATTGTAGTTTATAACTTTCGCAAACGACCTATTAAACGGAATTAACCCTTAGATTAAATGTAAAGTCTTTGATCGCTATAAAGTATAGCGCCGACCATGCATAGTAGTAATTGACAACTAAGGTTTAGACCATGGAAATGATTCTAAAAAGAACCCTAAAAATGGACGAACGTTCCGAATCGATATTTTTATGTTATTACTGTGATTAAATATCAAGTCAATAATTTGATGCGATCTTCCAAAGAAATTTATTTATTTATTAATGAAATTTACAACTGTATTGAAGAAATTCGTCTAGTAAATTTGTACATATGGATATAATGACTTGAAAACACTTCATGAGAAACTAGCCACTGGTAGCACTCTAATGCCTCGGAGGGGAAGCAAGATTAGAAAAGAGAGGGTTGGGATGGTTCTGAAGTTTATCAAGGAAGGATAGGTATCATGATTGGGCAGAATCTAAAATATAAGAAACATTAAGGTCATTATGAATGATTTTATTTGTCACAAAGTAGGGAGCATTGAGGATTTTATGAAGGATTTTGGATTGTAAGGATTGGATACGAGAGGAATTCGATGGTTTGGAGGAGTCCAATAATTCAACTCCGTAAGTCCTAATAGGTCTTATTTTAGTCATGTGTATGAGTCTTTTGCAATTAACTGGAAGCTTAGAGCATTTGTCTATTAAGTGTTGGATTAGTAGGAAACGTCGAGCGGTTTCTTGTCGTTTCAGTCCGGTATGAGGATTCGAAGTTAGACGTTTGTCCAGATGGAGTCCTAGGTAACGGATTTCTTTAACAGGAATAAGTGGAGTATTGTTAATGTAAACAAATAAATTAGGAATCTTATGATATGCATTTCAATTATTTCTTCACGTAATCCAACTTTAAGAGCCTATTTTTGTCGACTTTATGTAATCCATTCAATGCATTTTTTGGACAAGATACAAGCAAGTGTAGTCTAATAATTAATTGAGTAAAGTATAAGTATAGATCACTAGATAAAGATCACACTATATCTAATATCTGGTGAAATACATGCAAGTTCCCCATGCAATACATAAAAAGAAAATTGGTATGGAAACCAAACACTTTTTATTTTTAGTATTGAACAGGTACGATTTAGGTACCTAAGAAGAAGAAGAAGATCTAAGAAGAAGAAGAAGAAAAGGAATGGATAGGATGAAACCGATTCAATACGAGACAGGAGTCATAAACTAGACATTAACGGTACCGATGCAGAGAGCGGCCATGTTCAGAAGAAGAGTTTAAAAACAAGAGGAATGTCCCAACTGCCATAGAGATTAGAACCGTTAGAAGGGCCCATTAGGGAACGATTTATATACAATAATACAATATGGCCGGAACTAACTCCCCATGTTTTCTAAATGAGCGGGAATTCCACAGTTATCAGCTGGCACTCTATGCCGGTGCACGTCCCAGCTTATGGGGCGTAGAGCTCTCTATGTTTCTAGCGGGCGTGCTTTCGTCAAGGTGATTCAAATCAAAACCAACACATCATATAAGATTTCATGGCTGATTATTAATAGAAAGAAAAAAGTAGAATGTTTATTTAATATTATGAATTATGTTGAACTTTATCTGTTAGTAATGCATAACAATTTCATTCCCTCCAGCTGATTCATACTGCTGTGTAGAAGTAGACAAGGTAAATATGGGGAAAAAAAAAAAAAGAAAACTGAATTCTGTAATGGAAGAAGTTATTCCAATAAAACCCGTCTTATAAATCTATGAACAAAATAGATTTATAAGACGGGGTACATAGATCTATTTGTAGATTCCGGCTCTGAGGAGAAATGGATTTTGATAAATGAGGTATCAAACGAAATAGAATTTCATGGATAAGTGACAAATCCCATTTTCGATCATAAAATTCTACCTGCAATTGATAAAAGTCGTTAAAAATATGTGGAAGTTTCAATACAAAGATGATTTGTGTTTTAAAGATTTCGATCCCCTCATTAAGATCCGGAATAATTCCAGCTCTCTGCGTTTTAAAAACCAAAAACCTACCTTTTTTAAGATCAACAGTAATTATTATTAAACAACATTTAATGATATTGTATTTATATATTAATTAGGCACTTTATATTGTCAGATTAAGCTTTTTTCTTTTCAAAACAGAATCACAAAACTTATTTTAATGAAGAATTTAATATATATATATATATATATATATATATATATATATATATGTGTGTGTGTTTTTTTTTATTGTTTTCTTAAAGGTTTGAACTGATCTATACCTGCAAATAATTTTAAGTGTTTTGTCATAGTATTAATAGTTCTGTATGTAGAATGTTTATCTTGTATTTTCTTTAGATTATTTCTTTTTTTCTATTGATTTTATTTCTAAAGTTGTTTATTTATTATTTTATAAAGTTATTTTCCATCTATTTAATTCTTGCCGAAAGTCTGTTATGTGTTATAGTTGCCATCGGATACATATCACCTTATTTCTAAACGACTTTTTAATTTCTTATGTATGTTCGCTATGTAAAGGTACCGTGTTTATCTTTTTATATCCCAGTTGAACAAATCCGATACCTAGGACTCCACCTGGACATACGACTCACATACAAGACTGAAACGACAAGAAACTGCTCGACGTTTCCGACTACTCCAACACTTACTTTGTCACAAATAAAATCATCCATAAAGAGTTTAATGTTCCACATGTTTCCGATTTGGCTCAATCCAGATACCTATCTTTTAATGACAAACTGCAGAACCATTCGAACCCTCTCGTTTCAAACCTTGCTTCCTCCTCGATCCATGATAACTCTCCGAGGCGTCTGAAAAGAAGATGACATCGTGATCTACTTATGCAAATATATTATTAGAATGCTATCCAATGGGTAGTTTCTCAACAAGCGTTTTCATGTGATTGTATTATTACTGTGTGCACATTTAGTAGTTGTATTTTTTTTTTTTTTATAATACAGTATTAAATATCAATGAATAAAAAAAAAAAAAATCTTTTTAGGCACTGGATTGTTGTTGATGTTTACAATATTATTTATTTTAAAACTTCTTTTTCCTAGATGTGGACTATCTTTATATTAATGTTATTCTTAAAGGACAGAATGGAGTCATTATACCAAAATAATATTGTTTAACTTTCATGATTAAAAGAATACTCCTCACATTTTTTTGTTTTTTTGGAATATGTATCAATTTTCAAACTAAGCATCACTTCACAGATTACAACCAAGTCCTAATGACGGACTCCCAATCCTCTATAATCTGGGCCCTCTATTATTTCGGTGCTGCGGAAAACTCGGGGGAAGCTGTGATTGGAAAGAAAAGAAGAGGGATGCTGGGCCCTGGGAACTGGCTCTTCCGGCCTTTTGTGCAGCCCCCGTCTACAGTTTCAGCGAGAGCCTTCATCTTCCCGCTCAGTATCGATAGTCCCGTAATCGAATCCTCTGGCCAAGCCGTTACTTCACACTCAATATTTCACGCTCGCAGTAAGCAGTGCTCACGCATCTAACATACTTCTTACAAACAACACAAGATCGATAATTTCGTTCGTGATTTACAATGTTTTGAAATATAGATTTCATACAAGCTCCAATAACTTATAAAATCATTTGCCCCCTAAACAACCCTACTCCATATCTTCCTATGTTTGGTTATTTATTTATTTATTGCTACATTCCGCATCCACCCGATTTGTTTGGTTATTCCTTTTCAGTTATCTGCATCCAGCTCTATTGCATCTTTATTGATCCGTCGGTTTTTTATCCTTTCACGTGGTCTTTTGCCGACTATGCATTCCTTGTCGTGTAGATTGTTCATTCTTCTCCATATGTTAGTATGATGATCGCAGATCACTCTGGTTATCGTAAGGAGGATTTTCTCTCAAATTTTTCGATACTTTTCTTAGGCCGGTGATATGTGTCCAGATATCACATCCATTCATATTTGAACTGGCTTTATCATAGCATTGTATAAATAGAAAATAACTTTATTCTGGGACAAAGTCCCTTTAGAATAACTAAATAGTACATAATTCAAAAACTACATCTGGCCAAAATAAAGCAATAATAAAAAAGAGATAGTAAAAAAAATGTTAGTTAAACAAGCTATATACAAAAAAAAAAAAAAAAACCAATCTATATACAAAATACTTAAAACTATGATAAGACATTTAAAACTATGTACAGTATGAAAAATTATATTTATACACTTAAATAATAAAAAATACATTGAGTTCTTCTTTAGAATAAGCTGTGATTCTGCTAACAAAGGAAAGACAAATATGACAATATAAAATGCTAGAGTATTTAAGTAATGATAAATATCTAAACACATCATTTATCTTATAGCAACTATAAGTACAAATTTATTGGTATAAGAATAAAAAAAATGTACATTCTTAATTTGAGATTTCTTTACATTTTTTCGGAATATCAATACCTTCGAAAGTGAGGTAGAAAGATCTGTTTGAGCTTGTTATTAGTTGGGCTCTATCTGATAGCAGTGATTGATATCCATGAAGTTGCACCAGAGAACAATGAAATAGATACACAATAATAAAAATAGTTTAGTCAACTATAGAATGAAATGTTCACAATGATAATATTTAACTAAGACAAATAGATCACACGGGCATTTACATTACCTATTTATAGCTATATATAAAAAAATAAATACAGGGGAAAATTGAAAAAAAAAAATTATACAATCAAACATAACTTGCATGTAACAATAATACTTTTAAATATTTAGCTAAGATCTTAGTTTACCTAAGAAAATATGGACTCATAAAAGCAAAAAAAAAAGTTTTTATTTTGGAGTGGCTTCAATCTAAAAGTCCATAATCCCTACCTCACAAAGATCCGACGTAAAGATTATTCTGCAGTTGCTATACCATTGTTTTTGAATTTACAATAGTTTTATTGTAAGTGTACAAATTCTGATATTATTAATTTTTTGTACAGATGTGTAATTGTTTAATTAGTAAAAACAAATAGTTTAACTTTTTAATCTATGTCGCAAGTTGAAAAATACGGATTTAGGTATCGGTACGTGAAACAAAAGGAGTTTATATTCAGCAAGTGGGTTAAAATAGGTCGCGAACGAGGTTAATGGGTTCAATTTGGATATCATAGCTCTGCAAAAGGTTCGGTGGCCAGGGGAGGGCTTGATAAGGGAAGGAAAGTACACTTTTTGGTATGGAGGAAGCGGAAATCTTTGTTAGATACCAGGTTTCTAATCAGAAATAGATTGCTATCCGCTTTGAGTGACTACAATTCTTTAGTGACAGAATTCCGGTAGCCTTTATTGGTTTAAAACATCGATGATATCAATAAAGAAGAGAATATGTTTGAATACCCACAGAATTTTAGGTACCTGGGGTCTAAGATAACTATAAATAACGAAATAGAAGAGGATCTTAAGGTTAGGTCGCTAAGCCTTTTATTGTTATAATTATTAACTTTTTAATAGTCAGCAGCATTTCTTTATGAATTTCATTCACATTATCATCGCTACGTTTAGTGTATATATTCATGATACACATAAACTATATGCTTAAGGAACACACTAGTGTTTTACCAAATGAGACCGAGACGAGTCTTGGTCTTGCAAACTCAGTCTTGGTCATGCAAGAGTCTCACAACAGTCTTGCAGTTACTTATTAGCCTGTTAGTGTAGAGATATTACTAAATTTTTGTAGATAAGAAAAACCTAACTAAGCCCAAATGAAGATTAGAGGAGTTAAATGCATAAGTATATTGGTTATACCAAATATTTACATATAGTAACTAAAATTGTCAGGTATTAGTAACTATTTTGCCTTAATTTTATCCAAAAAATCGATTTTTTTACCAGTCCTAGTCTTGATCTTGCAACAGTTAGGCGGCCTTGGTCTTGCAAAGTGTTTTTCGGACTTGCACTTTGCTAGACCAAGACCGATTTTGGGTAGCAATACACACAACAAAATTTCTTGAAATCATCACATTGGAAATTATGTAAATGAATTTAAAAAACAATTCAGTAGAAAAGTAGCAAATAAGGAATAGAAAAGTATTACAAAACAACAACGAATATGGAAAGCAGAGTAAATAATATCACCAATTAATTTCAAGTAACATTTCTTAAAATTTAATCGCTCAATACTTTGAAGAATTTTCTGTTTTTGAAATTAAAACATTGCGCACGAATGGTGACTATATTTTATATATAAACAGTGGGGTTCGGTACAAGTACTGGTTTGTAATCATCAATAAGATTGAAATTTACAAAAAGTTTAGCTTTATAAAAAATGTGCTTAGTGACTTGACACTGTCTAACTCAATTATCAAAAACTGGAAATACGATTTCGTATCCTAGTTTCATTTAAATTTAATTTAGTAATAAAATATTATAAGTTATTGAATTAGAGTTAAGGTTGTCAGATTATTTTTACGCAGCGCTCGACTTGTATTGAATCTGCAGGATGTAAATTTGAACAAAATTTATAAATTATATAAAATTCCTTTCTTCTTTAAATGTCTCTTTTATCAAATTATTTTCCTGTAAATACTCGTATTTCTGTCAGGAAGCATTTGACAATGAATCGTAGATTTATTGCAAAAATTCATTAAGTGCAGTTTTGATATAGGTTAATTTTCAAATATGTTTTTGTGAATCAGCCTTATTTATATGTAAAAAAAAAAAAACAATGGCTCAAACCCTTTTATTTATCAGATATATTTACAACAATCACAAAATGTTCTGATTTCACAAAGCGAAAATTTAATGACTTTTTGCAATGAAACGGCGATATGTTTATAAGAATTATTAATTCCAAAAGTCATGAGTCAGTAATGGGACACACAGTATGTTTACACAAATTATATGTTCTACTTAAATGCCAGCAATACAACATTTGTCTTTCCTATATGCTGTAAGAGCCCCCCTGCTGATTACAGGACTCCTGGGCATTACATGAGGCTCCTGAACATGACAGTGCAGAGTTACACCATCCTCAGTGTACAGGTTACACCTGTCTGTCACTCAGGTGTGTGTGTGTGTGTCATCTCCTCTGTAACATCTTGTAGTTATTAGTTTCACCCACAACTCTCGCTAGACAGCAAGTAATCACTACCGAAAGTCTCCACCACGATGCGGGTCGTGTGCATAACGTAAAACCATCAAAATATAAATATACAATTAATAACTCAAAGCAAATCAAAGTGAAATAAAAAACCAGACAACGTTTTGGAAATTCAAGGTTCATTAGGAACCAAAAATATAACAAAGATGTTAACCAGCAACAACACATAACAGCATATAAGATCAAGAGTTAAAGAAGTAATAATCAAGTAGACATAGTGCGTATCACCTATCATCACACTTCTTATTTTAAATATTTCAGTATTTGAAAATATCTCTTTTCTCAATAAGTTCTTCAAGTACTATGCATGCACAGTATTTAGTTTTATGGATAATGAAAAGTATCAAAGTAAATACTGTTGAGAACGAAAATTCCAGTCTTTAGCTTTATACTTCCAAGAGGTGTTGACAATTTTAATAAATTTTTTAACGGTGATACTACATCAAAAGATATTAGACACATGATACAAATACTCCAATTAGTGTAGACCAAGACCAAGACCAGATAACTGTTGCAAGACCAGAATTGATAAAAAAATAGATTTTTCAAAATAAAAATTAAGTCAAAATAGTTACTAATACTTTACAATCTTAGTTACTATACGTTAATAATTTGTATAACCAATATACTCTTGCATTTAATTCTTCTAATTTTTCATTCAATCTTAGTTAGGTTTCTTATATCTAAAAAATTACAGTAATATCTCTATAGTAATAAGCTAATAAGTAACTGCAAGACTGTTGCGCAAGACCAAGACTCGTCTCGGTCTCGCATTTGGGCAACACTAGTTCCAACGGGCGCTATAACCGAGAAGAAAATCATGTTATCTAATTTCAAATAAAATTGATGTTATTTATTTTTCCTTTGCTTAGATTGGATTTTTAGGTTATTATATACCAATCAATTTATTTGTTTGTGTAGTATAAAAAAATATTGACTATGGTTTTAAATGAGTACTAATAATATATCATAAATCAAAAAAACCAAAAGGCATTAAAGTAACCCAAATTTTTGCAATTAAAAAATTAAGTTAGATTAGTTTTTGAACTCCTTTAAACCTCTTAAACATGAATTTGAAAGATATCAGAAATCGCATATTTTAATACTTGATTTTTTTTTTTTCCCGAACATAAACTGAAGCATACATAATCATCTTCAAATTTTCCTCAAACTCAATGTTTGTAAAACCGTTGGCAAACCGAATTACTGCTTTTCCATTCCATATCAATTACTTTTATTATTTTTTTTTCCTTTTGAAGCTAGATATATTTTTTTTAGCTGCCAAAGGTTTTTCATAGATGGCACATGTTAATAATTTGGTTTTTGCATATACAAGTTAAAAAAATTAAAACGTCCCGCATTGTCCGCAATATATTTTCCGTTTCGAA